TTGTTTCACCACAGTTGACAAGAGGGAACATACTGTAATGATGCTAATGGCCTATTTGTTTCCTTTAAATGTGTGCGGATGTGTGAGTAGAAATCTTTATTGTTAGATCTTTGCCCACAGAAATTAAATAGTAAATGAACAATGCTTAATCCATCTACCATTCCTCTACTTCAGTATAACAGCTGTATACATACAGAGTGTATACAGAAAGATTATTTCTCAGAAGCTCTGTTTACCAATCCAACAAAAGTTGCAGTTAGACTATTCTCCTTAGATTCAAGACCTATTTGTGGACTACTTATCAGCTGCATAGCTTTATCTTTAACTCTGCAATCTTGTTTGTTTGGGTTTTTTGACATTCCTTCAAACTGATTTGCAGGTCTATTCTTAGTGGAAATTATTTCGGATCCACATCTGCACCACATATGTCTTTCTGAACAAGTTATTCAGCTAGGTAAACTGTGTAAGAATCGGGTAAGGCTGGAACAAAGCTTGAAAACAACTTGTGATGACACATGCAGCTGTTTTCATTTGTTTCACAATAGTTTTGAAATTATCGGTGTCCTTAGCTAAATTACTACATCTGTGAATCTGTGTATTAAGTCAGTCTTGCAACATTAAATTACTGGAGTCATTATTACCAGAGATTTGTTATAGCTTATTATCTTCTTATTCTGCACCGTTTCATTCCATAAGCTTAATGTGCTTTATCCATTATTTGTAACTTAAACCCATAAAGTCTGTTGTATATTGTACATTACCCTACATATCTTACTGTCAATATCAATTGTACATATGTATCAGTAAATTGGTTCAGACTAAAGGCTTTATTCTATTATAAAGCCACGTCCGGTTCTTTCAAACCAGGAACTCAGAGGGACGACTCAGACCACTTGGATATATAAAAAATATAACCGTGCTGGTTTATTCAAAGGGTCACAGGCAAGAATTAACATTACACGTCCAGGCATCTTCCACCCCCAAAGCTGCTCGCAGGCAGCCCGGAAGAAGAAGCCCCGAACCTAATAGCCTATACAATTTAATCACTTCGTTGGGCTAGCCCCATCCTACACAGAAACGTCAACCGAGACGTCTCTCTCTCACCAGCTTTGCAGCTGGCTCTGGCAGTAGTCACAACATGAAGCAAATCAACGTGTGAATGTGTATGTCTGTTGGTTAAGTGGTGTGTAGCTAAAAACACTGTAACACAACAATTCACATTAAGAAAAATATTATGGTTACTTTTACCATTTAACAGCCTGAGGAAGACACCCTGGCTACACTAACATCTTCTAATACAACAGATCTCTAATCAATATCTATTTAACTAAGAAAGTACCTAACATAACATTATATATGAGGTAAAGAAATTGTAGCTATTAGTTGGTTTTTTTTGCAGTATTCCATGAAGAAGGCATCAAATTGTACACTGTATAGTCTAACAACTCTATTTGAGTATTGCTGCTCTTCTTATTCAAATGTTCAGTGCAGTCAGTGATCAAAATCATATGTTTTGGTGTATTGTCTAAACATACTTTGACCACCTCCTTCAATCTTTCTGGACAGCAACATTATTCAGATTCCTAAGCAAATATGAGACACTGCATCATTTGCTGTCTTCTGTTTGATGCTTAATGACCTCTTTCTGTTCTTTATTGTCCTGCCTAAAATATTACAGTCTGTCTACAGGGGAGGGATGAACTGAGCAAAAGGCATGCACCACTGGAAGAGCAGAGATGAGACTGAGCTGCTTTAGGAGAGGACACAGCTGGAAGAAGGAGTGTATACGATCGGAGATTACTGCTGACAGCCTGCTGTTGGACTTTATTTCCATCAGGTGGGACCTAATGTATATGGTTTATTTCTTATTTGTTGCTCAAATTATTGTTTGTGTCATCATTATTAGTCTTACAACTGCAGAGAAATGCTTTAGATGGAGTAGAGTAAATTTTCCAACAGTCAGTGCAGTCTTTGCAGTGGTGGTAAGACAATTTCTTAATAAAACTACACTCTACTTGTCAACAGCAAAATGCTTTAAAAAAGTAATATCTATGATAGTCCACATGCATCCATTATCTATACTGTTTATCCTTCAGAGGGTCATGGGGGACCTGGAGCTGATCCGAGCAAACACTGGGTGAGAGGTGGTGTACACCATGGACAGGTCACTAGTATATCACAGGACTGACACAGACTGTAGAGACAGCCAGCCATTCACATGCACACCTACAGAAATCTTTGATTCACCAGTTTAATCTAGCCTGCATGTCTTTAGACTATGTGAGGGGAAACTTGCACAGGCACTGGAAGAACATGTAAACTCCATACAGAAAAGCCACCAGTTCCAAACCGTCTGCAGAACTCAAAATGAAGTCTCCGGTGATCAGTCAAATGTCCTTTGAGATCACAAAATTTGTCATTTAGACTGTTGTGTATGGAATAGGTAACAAGAGGACTGTGGTGTGGTGGTGCAAACGCACGGTTAATCTCTCACCACAGTTGACAAAATACAGTTTGTTTCTGTTTACAGTTTTTTGCTGTTGCTAACAAGCATTGACCAATACTTAAAATACTTCTTCTAAACTCTTAACACAGCAACACAGTTACATCACACATCTGGCCAAATGGTTCATTTTCAGACAAAAACCACATTTTGTTAAATAACAACTGACTTTACATTTCACAATGCAAAATACCATTTTCTACATATACTAACTTTATCAAAACACAGCAAACCTGACTCATAATTGAGTCGTTTGATCAAAACATTAGCACTAGTTTTCTATCCATCAGGAACATATAGTCAGTCATAGTGCACAGACTGTCAAAATGTGAAAAAGTAATCATCATCAGCATTTGGCCATATGTTCTCATCAACATCACACCTTATAATTTCTCTTGCTATGCACCTTGGAAAGAAACGTTTAGAATGCCTTATCCACCCCTGGCAATCTTCAGCTGAGATGTCTCTGCAGCCAGCCTCCATTGCATCCTGAAGGGACATTTCATCATGTGGTCGATGATCATAGACTTTCCACCTCCAC